ACACACACACACACACACACACACACACACACATACACACACACACATGTACACAAATAGTATACACTGACTCACATATACTCGAAAACAAACACACCTCTCTTTCCTATACACCTATGTCTGTTATCATCTAGCTTTGCAAATTGTAATATATATTCTTCGATGTTACTCCAATAATTGTCCTTGCTTTCTGGCAGTTCTGTCATACTTTATTTTTCTGTCTCAGGTGGAAAATCATTGGTATATTCCGATACATCCTCGGCATGTCTCGCCCGACCAGCAATATTTATTACCCTAACCAAGACTGTGAAAGTCCCATCGCTCCAACAAGGAGACCAGAGCCGGAGGTGGAGTTGTCGTTCTGGAAATTCTGTCTGCGCTGCTTGTGTGACCCTCCAGCTCAGAGATATTCGAGCTCATTGGCCAGACCGAGTATCACGTGGGCCACACAAACCAATCGCTCGCCGTCTTACATCAGGAGACTGCCTTCTTCGGACTCGCTTTTGAGCGGAGGGCCGGGTGGAATAATGATCACCCAACCTTCCCCTTCTGAAGAACTACTTCTAGAGCGGTTGTCTAATTCAAACAAAAAACAGAACGGGTCTGCAAATGGAGTTCACAAGACTTAGTCGTGGGCTTTTGATTGGTGAATTTCACCCAAGTGTTGATGGGAGTGACTTAAAGTCTTGATTCTGTGATTTGGTTGGTTAATTTAACCAATGCTTTTTTATGTTTAATTGTAATGAGAACGGTATCGAGTTACAAAATGAATAATGTTCTGTTTTGAAAGCCCCGCCCTTGAACTGTTGGTGAAAATCATGTTTCCATTTATGTGTGTATTTGAAAGGCATTTGTCCTACCTCCTCAAAACCACGGTGTGTTTATGTTGTCATTAAAAGACGGTTGTCTGTGGTGTTTAAGTCAGGATCATAGCCGTGCAGGTAAACGGCATGAGTTCCATTTCCTAATGGGAAGATATTTTATCAAATGTTAATATTTCTGTATTACTGTCGGTACATTGAATCTTATAGACTGTACTGAAGCAGCTCACCTATTATGAATTCTAAACTGTTTGGACCGTGAAGTTATACACGACATTGTGCTGCCTTCTCTTGTTGTTGCTGTTGTTTCTTTTCTGGCATCCTGGTTTTTTTGTGTTTTTTTGCTGAATTTGGCTTGTTTGTTTGTTGTTGTTGTTGTTGTTGTTTGTTTTTTGTTGGTATTTTTTCCCTTGACGAATTTTAGTGGAAAGGGGAGGG